TTAGCTTTGCTTTGAAAAACAATTTGTAAACTTTGGTCAAATTTTGGGTATCCTTCCACAAGCTTCTCACAATAGTTTGAAGGAATTTTTGCCCATTCCTCCTAACAGAATTGATGTAACTGTGTCAGATTTGTTGGCTGTATTGCTCAAACAAGTGTTTTCAACTCTGCCCACAAATTTTCTATAGGATTGAGGTCAGGGCTTTGTGATGGCCACTCCAAAACATTAACTCTGTTGTCCTTAAAGCAGATTATAACTAATTTGGCAGAATGCTTAGGGTCAAGGTCTGTTTGGAAGACCCATTTGTGGACAAGTTTTAATTTCCTGGCTGATGTCTTGAGATGTTGCTTCAGTATTTCTACATACTGCTCTTTCCTCATGATGCCATCTATGCTGTGAAGTGGACCAGTCCCTCCTGCAGCAAAACAGCCCCACAACATGATACTGCCACCCCCATACTTTCAGTTAGGATGGTGTTCCTAGGCTTGTAAGCTTCCTCTTTGCCCTCCAAATGTAGCCTATGGCCAAATAGTTCAATCTTAGTTTCATCAAAGCACAGGACATGTCTCCAATATTAGTCTTTTCCCCAGTGTAATTTAGCAAATTGTAATCTGCCTTTTTTGTTGATTCTGGCTTGTTGGTTTTCCCATGTTGTAACACAAGGAAGCAGTGTGTTTGAGGGTTTCCTTAAATACTATTCTACAGCTGTGCCTCCAATTAATTCAAATGTTGTCAATAAGCCAATCAGAAACTTCCAAAACCTTGACATCATCATCTGAGCTTTTCCAGAGGCAGAATAATCTTATTGGATGTAAACTTGACTTTCAAGAACAGTTATAACAATTTCTAAAAAAATATCTCTCTCATTATTCTGCTATTAGGCAGAACAGATTCAAATGCGATAATCCTAACTTGCCTAAAAGAGAAAAAGTTTAGTCACATTAACATCTGACTTTTTAAAATGGTTATGTGCCTTTTTATACAGCGTATGTAAACTTCTGCTTTCAACTGTAAGTAGGTATGATTAGCCTGATGTATATGCTCAGCATTTCACAGTCTGCCTGAGTTTTTTTATGAAGTTGCCGTAGACAAATTGTAGGAAGACAGCAAAAGCGTATTTCATAGATTGGATGATATATTAGATATTATTAGCCAACCATTAAACAACAGACTAAGTCACAGGCTATGACTTCTCTCTGGTGGTTTTACGTCAGAGATCAGGTGCCCTGCGAATGTTTTGTTATCTCGTGGAAATGTGTGCTGTTATCAATTCCAATACAGAATTAGAAAACATGTCCCAAGGAGGGCATTATGAACTCAATGCAACCAGGCTTAGCATTTTCCTCCCTGCCAGTGTCTAATCAAACGTTGGCTCTATCAGTAGTAAAATCTCTTAAATAGAGTGAGATAAGTAAAACGGCCCTGTTTTGATGTCTCAAAAGCAGCTCCCGTGAGCATAGGGACATGCTGGTGTGTAATCGTGGGAAACTATTAATAGAAAAGGGATCAAATGGGGTGATCGCTGCACATGGGACTGGAGGCTAAGCAATGCAACACTTCTATCTAAAGAGGACAGTCCCCCTGCAGCCACCTCGATCATGCCCGAACGCTATCAGCAAGCGATACTAATCCTGTGGTGTGCATAAAAGGATTTGTTCTTGTTGGCCTGCATGCGCCACGTCCCCCAGCAATTTTTGGTGTTTATCTTCTGCAATTGCTAAGTCCCGTGGGTTTTGGTGCTGGAACTTCCAGTGCCTGCGACTTTTCCATTGCCACCACACTAGAGATACTGCCCCTCTTGCGCTACCATCTGAGGCAGAGCCAGAGATGGCAACATCAGAGACTGGAAGCAGCGTTTAGCGTTTAGCATTTGACTCTGTAATCACACTTCATAGGCTCAAAAAATATTTCAGTTCACAATAAGCCGCCTTATCCGTGAATTGCCAGCTTGAATTTTGTTGATGAGCCATTAGAGACCTCTGAGTTAGGGATCGGAAGGACTGAACTTCCCCTTTTATTGTTTCTTACCTCTTTGCCGCTACTTCTCTGGGTAGTTGCTGTTTGTCAGCTCGGTTAATGGGTTTCTTAGGGGAGATATTATTTTGGTCCAGTAAGCTGCATGTTTAATGTATGACTGACAGTGCTGACTCATGTGGCTTAAGCAATTTGTAGTTGAAAGAGATTTTGTAGTGGAACGAAATAAAAAAATAAAGGATATGCTGCAAAAAAAAAACTTAGTGATTATGAAGCACTGCTCCACCCAGTGTAAAAACAGACAAAATCGACTCCAGAGCAAGGGTATAATAGTTTGGGATTTTTCATTAGTTTTAGTTTCTATTTCGTTTTGACTTTTTTTGTTCACAAATTCTTTAGTTTTAATTACTTTTTAGAGGGAGATTTACTAGTTTTTATTAGTTTGACCTAGTTTTAGCTTAGTTTTTATTAGTTTCAGTTAAGGGTGTGTCACGATACTCCAAATCCTCGATTCGATTACATTTTCGATTCTAAAGTCACGGTTCGATTCGATTTTCGATTATGAATAATTGATATATTAATAACGAATTAATTATTTGTAGCCTACCGTTTAAACTACCTGACCTGCATGGTCTTTGTTTTACCCATAAACAAATCATACAGTTAATAAATAAAGGTAAGTTACACACATAATTACCACCTGTCAATCACTTTTTCTGCGGGACTCGTGAATAGGCAGTGATCTGTGTCGTTATAATGGCGCCTGTAAAAAAGACGCACAACCAATAGGAACCAGATAACAGTATCTGAAGTGTTTTCTAAAATGACTAAGTACAAGTGTGTGAAAGATTGAAGCAGTCTACTGACCCTCTGA